CAAAAAATGATGTTTATAAAGAGGGTGTGATTATATAGAAGATGACTATAGAGAAAGATGACTGTAATAAAAGAAGAGATAGACCTCTTACAACCACAATTAGAGCTAAAGGATGTCTAAAGCGGAGGCAACTCATATTCGATTAACTTTAGAGTTAGGGGCATCCTATATTAGGGTTAGGTTTGGTTAGGTTTTAGGTAATTATATATAAGCAAAGTTGCCTTCCTAACACTTTTGATTAACTTTCCGAAGTAGGTTTAGACTACTGTTTTTTGTATTTTGTTGTTTTGCCTCACCAGTGATCATCAAAATCCTGTGTTTTGATTTGTCAAAGATTACATGATTTGCCTCCGCTTTAGACACCCCTAAATAAGAAATATATAAAATAAAAAAATAAAATTAAAAATTAAAATAGAAATAACAATATAGAATATAAGACTAATCTAAAAAAAGAAATTTGAACATAACAATAGTTAACTATATACAAAACATAATTGAAAGTCCGATGAAAGGTTTCCTCTTGACAGCACTTATATACACATAGTGTTCAGATATAAAAAAAAAAAAATATTATAAATACTGAACTATAAATTTTTTAACTTAATTAAATTTTTTAAAAAAATTTATTGACAAAAAATAAAAAATATATTTTTTTAATAATTAATAAATTTTATAAGTACTGTATAAATAAAACAAATAAAAACTTTAACCTACTCCTATCCTTTTTCATCAGTATGCTGTAGATCTTACCAGTAATGTTCATGATCGGATATAAATTGTCGTAGTTATTGGCTCTGATTTTACTCATGATCCGCCTCCTTTCTTTTTTGGTTAAAACAGAAAGGATTTTTGTCAAGAAATTTTATATTATCTTATCGATATTGATATTGATATTGATATCAATATTGTTATTTATCTAATATATTCTGAACCATCTGATATCGATATCGATATAGATATAGATATAGTTCCAAAAATTTTTTATTGTATTCAAGTTGTATTTATAATATTTTTAAGTTCACTGACTTTTGATTCTATAGTTAAATTTATGTATTACAGCCTTACTGTGTAAACTTTATTTTGAAATTATAAAAACGTGCTAAAAATATATTAATAAAAATTTTATATCATTCCGAAAATAGCTATGCTTTCATAATTAGATGATACACTCTTATCATTTACTAAATATAAGCCAAACTTTATATTTGTTGATTTTTTTTTCTAGCATATACTGATGTGCTTTTGGTGCAATTGACTTGGGTATGTCTTCATCCATGGTGTGTAGTATTGCGGGCAAAATCTATTTTCAAAATCCAAAAGACGAAACCGAAATTTTTCCAAAGGCAAAATAAATCCAAAATTTCCGAAATAGGCAAAATTTCTGAAACCTGAAATTTTTTAAATCTTTGAGTGAAGTAATCTCGACACTCACCAAGTCAAATTTTATAAACTTTTTTTTATTTAAATTCAACGAATCTGTAGAATTCAAAAAAAAAGTTCTTTGAATTTGGCTTGGTGGGTGTTGAGATATTTTCACTGAAAGTTTAAAAAAAAATTAGCTTTTTTAATATTAACCATAGCTGCTGCAACAAAATTGTCATAGCAGATCCTCAAATTTGATTGGCTAATGGCCGAGAATCTTTGAAATTTTGGCCCGCATTATATAATTGTTTACTAATTTCCAGCCGAAATTTACAAAAATATAAATTTTTAAAAAAATAAGCCCGCATTATAGTAAAATTAACCCAGGAACAATTTTTACTTAATAGATGACTGCGATTTCATTAGTAAAATTATGAGTTATTATGGTCTAATTTTTTGATTGTCGCTCTTTGCTGCCGTTACAATTTTGTTGCAGCAGCTATGGTTAATTTTTTTTGATAGATATTTTGAATTTTATAAATCTTTAAATAAAGATATCTCAACACTCACCAAATCAAATTCGATAAAGTTTTTTTATTTAATTCTATGAATTAGTAGAATTCAAATAAAAAAAAAGTTCATTGAATTTGGCTTGGTGGGTGTCGTGATATCTTCACTCAAAGTTTAAAAAAAAGTTTGGTGCAGCTCTTTTTGATAGATATTTTGAATTTTTAAATATTTGAGTGAAGATATCATGACACCCACCAAGCCAAATTCAATAAACATTTTTTTATTTGAATTCTACAGATTCATAGAATTTAAATAAAAAAAAGTTCATTAAATTTGGCTTGGTGGGTGTCAAAATAGCTTCGCTCAAAGGTTAACAACAGTTTGGTGCAGCTAGATGGTTTGGATTTTTAAATCTTTGAGTGAAGATATCTCACACTCTGCTTCACTACACTCTAGGTATTTTTTCTAATAAAATTCTAATATTAGATTTCAGAACTTTCACCAGGTTTCGATTTCGCCAATTTTTAGACATTTCGCCAATTTTCGAATATTTTGCCAGTTTGGAATTATTGGATTTCAGGCTTTTGGGTGAAATATATTTTACCCTATTTCAGAAATTTCGCCTGGGCAAAATATATAATTTTGCCCACAACACTAATAGTGTGTGTTTTCACAGTTCGTGGTGCATTTAGAGAGATGCTTTATGATGCTATACAAAACTAACATGTCTCTATTATGCAACTACAATAGTTAGCAGGCAATCGAATTTTTACAGCACATTGATTATAACCCTACCTACTGTATGTCACAATAACCAAATATTTAATAGCAAATTATAATCCTATCTAAATCAATAATACTTCTTCAATAGTTGGTGAGCACAGTAACCAAATTTTTTTTGTCAAATCTCTATATCAATCACAATTATCCAATACAAACTATCCTGCCCCTATCTAAATTGCTTATGCTACCACATTAGTTAGAAGTATAGTAATCATACAAATCATAGTAAATCTAATATAAAACAATGTACATAACTCTATTTAAATTAATAACTCCACCACAATAGTCAGTAAATACATAACTGAATTTTTATAGCAAATCAAAAGGTTTACTACAAAATTCTGAAAGGCAAATTTCTAAAAGGACCTAATATTAACAAAGTTAGCTAAAATTAGTTATAATGTCAGTCAATTTAGTCAGTATTATATTCTTTTAGAAAAATGGTTTTTGAGATTTTGTAGTAGAACCAAATCAAACAATACAAATTATGATAAACTCAACACTAAGCTAACATAACACTACCTAAATTACTCATGCAACTACAATAGTCAGTAAGTACATAACAGAACTTTTTACAACCAATCATTATACAAATCATGACATAATTTTATCCAAATCACTTATATAACCACAATAGTCAGTAAATACAGTATTCAAACTTTTTACAGCAATCACTATACAAATCACAATAAGACTAACATAACGTTATCTAAATCACTTATAATTAGCAAGTATATTACTGAGCTTTTTACAGAAATCTATACAAATTATGACACATTCATTACAAAATTAACATAACCCAATCAAAAACATTTACATGACCACAATAGTTACTAAACTTTGTTTGAAATTATGTATATACATACTAATTTTTAAACACATATTACAGTCACCAGTAAGATTTTTTAAATAGCTCAACCCCAATACAAACTAATTCACCACTTTAAACACATATTATAGTCAATATAATAACAAGTAGAGTTATTACCCGGGTTGAGTGACCCGTACAGGTCACAGGCTGAAAATTGCTTTAACTCAGATCAAATGGGTTAGAATTCAAAATATGCAAAAACCTACTAAAATGCTATATTGAATAAATGTTAATCTTATTGTAAACAGTCACCAGAATAACAAGTAAGTTTTACAACAAAACTATTTACAATACCTGATAAAATTTATGACAATTACAAGGCAAAAAACTCAAACTTAACCCTATATTATTGTCACTGGAATAGCGAATAAGTTCTGTAGTAGAGTTTTTTTTACTGTAATTCATAATAAAAAAAAATTATAATAATTCTAATGCAAATCAAATTAATTTTTTAACTATATACTGTGGTCACCAAAATAACAGGTTCCTGTATAAAATTATTTACAATAGAAATTATGATTATTCTGATACAAACTAACTCTTCTTAATTGCATATTGTGTTTACTGGAATAGCAAGTAAGCTCTGTAGCAAAATTTTTTCAGTTACTCATAATAAAATTCCAATTCAAACCAACTCAAACTTATCTATATATATATTAAAAATCACAATAATTCTGATGTAGCTCAATCACATATGGTAATCGTAATCACTGTATCATGATAGTGTAGATAAAATGACAAATAATAGCATAATTGTAATAGAAGCAATATAGAATAGTTAAATAAAAATAAATTAAATTAAAAAATAAGACAATCATCAGGAAATTTTTCTTAATACAATTCTGTACAAATTTTCAAAAACTAACTAATAAATTAAAATGAAAAACATCAAACTCATCAGCTATAGCCACAGAAATTAAATACAATTCTGTGTAAAATTTGAAAAATTATGCAGATTTTGCAAAAAATTCTGCAAAAATTTTACTTTGCAGATTTACACTTATTTAATTTTTTTAATGATAAGTTATCTATTTAATTGTGATATAAATAATTAAAATTTTACACTGTACATAACCTGAAGTGTATAAAAATCTTTACAAATAACACTACCAAGTAACAAATAATGTGTAAAGACTACAAAATAAACACCAACTAATTTCCTTATTAATACAAATCTTTACCTGTTTTGCTATAAATTATAATATTATAAAATTGATAAAAATGCGAGAATTCACTACAATATAATATAGCATACTCTATTCTAACTCACTTTGAACAACTCATGCTCCTAGTTTTACTATAAATTTTATATAGTGCGAAAATTTTAATTTTACTGTTTTATTATAAAAGTAATGCATTAAGTTATATAATTGATACTTATTACATTTGATATAAAAAAGTAAAAATTAACAATTCAATAAATAATTGACTTTAAGTAGCAATATTACGAAAAAGAAAATAATAAATTAAATTTCTATTTTATTGAGCCAATTAAAGCAGCAGCCTGAGACCATAAAATAGAAATATTTCTAATATTTTTTTCATCATAAAATAATCTAAAATCAGCAGGCCTAAATCCAAATTCTAATATTTCATCAGGATTTGTTTTACTATAAATTTCATTCATAGGTAAAGTGACTTCCATTCCAGCCAAAGGAAAAGGTTTAGGCATTATAGTATTATTTAATAAACCTAATTGACTTAAAGAATCAAATATTTGAGTTGAATTATAAACAAAACCACCAGGAAATGAAGAATAAGATAATAAAGAATTAGATACAATTCCACCAACAGCAACGGTAGTTACATTATTAAATTCAGCAGCATGTTCAGCTATATTAGCGCATGCAGAACCACATAAACCATTAGTTAAAATAATGTAATCTTCAGGTTTCCAAGGAAGAGGAGTAGTTAAATTTTGAATAAACTGACTAATCACATTTAGCTCAGAGTCACTTAAAATATATCTATTAGAATAATTCCCCTTAACACCACCACGTGTATAAACATTATTACCAAAGATGTCTTCAACACTTGTAAAATTAGCATGAGATTTTTCATTAATATATTCTTTCATATCGAAAATATTATTTTTAATGCCAAGTTTATATTGTTCAGTAATTGCAAGTCTCAATTGTTCAGTAATTCGCAAATCAAAGTCAAAGGTAGGATAAGTGCTGGGAAATAAGAGTAAATTGAAAAATACGGAGACGACGAGATATCCACCAACGTTGTCAGATAAGTCAAGAACAATCTTTAACAAATGAATAAATGAATAAATAAATATAAATATAAGTGAGTAAATATTGTATACGTAAATAATATAAAAATTTATATACCTTTTTAACACCCGTATTTGCTAGATCATTAAAACCATGAATCACATCCGTAATTATGGCAACACTTATTGTAAGGGGAGCTTCAGTGAATATTTTAACAACACCAAAATCTTGTACTTTAAAAAATCCAACAAATTTATCAACAGTTCTTATTTTAGTTACACTTAGATCTGAAGCTAATATCCCATCAGTTTTATCGAATTCATTTGTAATTTCTCGAAGTTTAGAACTAAGAGATATAGATGGTTTGCTTCCTTCTATAGAATTACAAATATTATCAAAATAAGATTTTGAATCATTAAACTTATTTAAAAATGCACGATTACTAAAAGCATTCCAGTCTCTTTTAATATCAAATTCATTAGTATTATCACATTTAAGTGTGTAAGTGATATATGGCTTTTGTGGTATTTCAAATCGTACGGCAAAAGATGCTGATAAATAGGTAAGATCAAGAGCTATATTAAATCGTACACCAAGATCTCTTGATGCATAAACTAAATTTTTGGCATATTCGGAAATTACTTGTAATGCTGGTTGACCATCAATATGAGTTACTTCGCAATCAATATTAGATCGGTCAATAGTGTCATTAAAGATTTTAATTTTCTAAAGAAAAAAAATAAATAGAGTTAAAATCATTATCAAATTTAGATAAATAATAAACATAAGTTACCTGCTCTCCATTATCAACAACAGAATAAAATGTTACGTTCGTATAGAAAATAAATGTTGTGAAACAATTTGAACTAAATATTGTATGCGCATCTTTCAAATCATAAAAGAGATGTTTAACATCGGTCTATTATTCGTATAAAATTATTAATGTAATAATAATAATAATAAAATAACTATATATATATATACTATATAGTAATATATAAAGTAATATACGTATATAAATTTGAAATAATAATTACTGTAAAATCATATAAAGTTGCGTAAGATCTATTTCTACGAAGTTCTAATTCAGCTACTAAATCCATTGGTTTAGAGTCAAAGCCGGTTTGTGGAGGTTCCTTTGCTTTATCCAAAAATGAATAAAATCCACCGACAAGACCAGTTAAAGTATCGATCGTCTAAAATTTTAATATAAATCATATGATCGATCAAAGCACATTATATATATACGTAATTTTATGCATATACACATACATTTATATAAATACCTCAGAAGCGACATCTTTATTAAACGGAAAGCCTTCATAACAATCTTTGACGTCGGCATAACAAAAACTGGTTTTTTGTTTAGCAATAAATTCATTATGAATTCTTGCACATCCATCAGAGACAAGAGTTTCTCGTGGAATTATGTAAGAACAAACATTCACAACTAAGGCGAATAAGTATGCGAAAAATACTACGTAGAAATTCATATTGGATAACTGATTACGTACTAGAATAGCGCATTAAAAATTTTGGCAGTCGTGTTTCTGAGGGTTTATAAGCCTTTGACTTTGAAATATTTCTAAAAATAGTTTAGCGGAGATCGGAACCTTTTTCATTGAGCAAGGGGGTTGTTAAACCTTAGCTAAACAAACATCATTACTATTATTGCTAAAATACAAATGGTGATAATAAAATGCAGATAATAAAATGCGGATAATAAAATGCGGATAATAAAATGCGGATAAATTTCCTTTTAATGGAAAAGTTGATGGTTAAATCCTATGGATGAATTGCTAGACCGAGAAGGTATTGTCCATATATGTATAAGAAATCTACAGCGCGAATGGCTTTATTTATTCATTCTACCCATCAAGAAACATAAGAATATGGAAAGAAGAAAATAATATGAAAATTTTCTCATTTTGAATTTGTAAATTAAATTTGTCAAGATTATTTTAACTTAATATATGTCGTAATTATAGCTATATGCCATAATTATAGCTATATAACTAACCAAATGATTGATTTTCCTTGATGATGCTATACATGAGGTTAGTACTTAAAGCTTAAAAGTTCGGTTACAATACGACATAAAAGAAGCATTTCTTATAATTCAACGCTGCAATTAATAGTTTCATTAGTTTATATTACAGTATTATAATACTTTGTGGTTATATGGTAAAATACGTTGGCTTTTCTGCGACACGGGTAACATAATTTACTTGAGCTTACTATATTAAGCAAATAGACTTGTCATACGGCTACATAAATACGTACGTACGTGCGTACAAATTTTTGTAAGTTGAACTTTTGATCACTCAGTTTCTAGAAAACCTATTTAACACCAATTATATCTTAAATGTAATGGTAGATGAAATTTGGTAACGTATGCATCAAAGCCAAACCCATATATTTATTCTATTAATAGTCTATTGAATTTAGTGCAACCAAAGCAAGTTGTCATTTGATAATATCAACGCTTTTTCGCATTGTTCACGTCTCAATACTGTATCTACATTTAGCATGCGTTCGATTAGTCGCAGTATATCAGCTGATTGGTTTTTGAGCCTTTTTTAGATAATCTGTTGCACAAAATTTTGGGTTTAAAATAAGTAAGAAAACACTTTATTTATCTTTTGTCCCGACACTAACAAACCCTATTTTATTTGCTGTGTCAGGTGTTCACTTTTGCTGTTGTTGAAATACTCAAATTTTTAGGATGGAGTTTATAACCGCTAAAGGCAGATTCGAAAGCAGTTTTCAAAAAAGATCTTTTTAACTTAATTTTGGCTTATAGTTAAACACACAAATATCGATTTTTCCACGCATTTAATTATAGATACAACGTTAGTACGTTAAAAAGATCGCTCTAATGATAAAATCTCCAATAATGATCGGCTGATTTGGGATCAAATAAAATCAGCCGATATCGATACGTATTACCAGAATGACCTAGATTTTATGATCTATTAAGTATTATAAAATTTATTAATAAAGGCATAACATGTAAGTTTATATTGAATAGAATAAAATTTTTATTAATAATTAAAATTTTTGGTTTACATTATAGCATAGCTTAGAATTTCGAAAAAAAAATTTATTTTTGTGCTATTACTATATTTGTTACAGTCATTCCAAAATAACCAATTGATAATCCCATCAAACAAACTCCAACAAATGGAAACTATTTACTTATTTTCGCAAGTACGTGATACAACGCTACAGATCAATCTTTTATTATTTCCTTTTTGGAGCAACCCAAATAAGAAGTACCACAAAAAATTGTCCCCGTAATTTTTACTGAGAATAAACAGCGTTGTAATTTAGGTTAGGGTTAGGAATAGAGTTTCTATTAGTAAAATTTCACGAGGAGCATTTTTAATTAGGCCGCAGAAGGTGATTTAAAATTAAAATTTCGAATTTTTTCTGTTTTTATTTGTAAAAAAAAAGGATTTGCTTCGATTTTTTTCGTTACACCTGATTTTGAAATTTGAATGGTCAAAAATCGAGAGGGAATAGTTTTTGTGGGTGCGCTAGGGGGTTAGTGGACAAACTTAACCGTCAATCGAAGATGCCTGTGTTATAATTCGCGAGCTTAATTAAGTTACGTTACTTGCCGTATTATTTTGTTGTAAACCATAGTAATGACCTATTGCCGTATTACATAAAAATAAAGATTGGAAAAGTGCGTAATAAAAAATCGGTAAGGGCGTGCAATGAAAAAATTGGAGTCAATTTTAATTCCGTAGATGAAAACTAGCCTAATCCATGAATTTCAACAGTCTACAAAAAGTTTAATAGTGTTATTATGAAATTGTAAATAATTTCTTTACCATAACTTTTATTTAATAGAGATTTTAAATTTTACAAATTTTTGATACTCATCTCATCGAATTCGACGAACTTTTTTTTAAAAAAAATTCTTTAAATAAAAAATATTCATTAAAATATTCTAGATTGAAGATTTAAAAAATTGGCAAAAAAAAAAAATCGAAATAAAGATATAATCAGATCTACAAATACGTAATCGATATTATTCTAACTACAGTAGAAAATCGCGCCATCGCTATTTACTTCCAAAATTTTCAATATATAATATAAATAAGCTTATAAAGGCAAAAATTTTAATCAAATCCTCTGTATTAGACTATCTGAATAGATCGAATGACCTCTCTCTTGATGATCTAGATATTAACATATGGGGAGAAAACCTGTAAATCAGATTGAAAATCAGTGAATTGGTTTATAAGTTTTCTCTTACCAACACTCATATATTATATTTGTTTAATGAGAGCTGCCAAGGGAAAATCTGTAATTGTTAGTTTTCCGAAATCCATTTTCAGAAACAACTCATAAAAATTTAATATTATCTGTTTCTAAAAGCGGAGTTTTCGAAATTAAGAATTCCAGGTTTTTCCTTGGCAACCTCAAATAACAACTGGGTAAAGGCCCTTTGATGGTTTTAAATTTGACATTAATCTAGCGATAGGGGTTTACAACGGATTACGGCCAGAATTATTGCTCTTGGTCTCTAGATTGCTATATTGAATTAGCTAAACAATGTATGAACCCTGCCCAAGAAACGATCTATTGTAAAAGAAAGCTTATGACAAAATCGGTCAGTGGATATATGATGTTAAATCATAAACATAAACCACTTATTGTTGAATCAAAATATGTATACAAATGAACTTATTGACACAAAAAAAAGATCACACAACATTTATAATTTACAGCAAAAAAGCAGATGACGTAGTTCCAGAAGATATTTAATTGATTTTTACAATATTTATTTATAGATTGTGTTTAAGTAGAAATTGGGCTTGCGGATAGCTTTGCCGACTAGTTCAAATAAGACCAGACCAATTTATTTCGTGGTTTACGTTAGATATTCCCGCAAAAAAGGGGGAAATGAAAGCCGAGTTTATTATAAAAATTTTTAAAAAATTTTTTCAAAAAAAAACTTTTTCGAAATGATCCGTAATTTTTCCGAAATTTTCTACATCCATAATGAGGGGAAGGAGTAACGTAAACTACTGAATTAATTTGGCCTGGCCTAAGCTATGTTTAAAATGATATTGAGGTGTATCGTAATTGGAAATGAGTACTTAGGAGCATTAAAATCGAATATACATCGGGAAGTTGTTTTTATGTAGTGTTATGTAAATATTTTATGTATATTCTATTTAAAAATTATACATAGGTCTATAAACCCAATGTAGACTTACATAGTTATAATTTATACATAAATATAACTATAACTAATATTTATTTACTAGTTATCTAAAACTTTGCAAATATAATAATATGTTTAGTAAGCAAATAAATAAATTGTAGGATAAAAATAAAGGTTATAATTAGAGTTAGAGTTAAAAATTAGAGTTGGGGTAGTGTAAAATTACGAGAGGAACATTTTTAATTAGAGTAAAATTTCGAGATATTGGCCAATTCTTTTTAAAAATTAATATATAAATTTATTTAAATTTTATAATATATATAGGTTATATAATTATATATATAAATTTATTAATATATAAATTTTACATAAAATTCTTATCTAAATTTTACGATATATAATTATTATACATAAAATTTATCAATATATAAAATTTATGTAAAAAATTTATTTAGATATTATGGCATCTAAAAGTTACTTAAATATAATACATGAATTTTATAAGTATATAACATTTATATTATCTTTTTTTATAAAATTACATTTATATAAGTTTAAATAAATTTTTCTATAAATTCTATATTAAATAATATATAAAAATTAATACAGTATATAATTTTTATATAGTAATCTATATAAAGTTGTAGACCTATGTAGATTTTATAAAGATGTACTTGCTGATGAAATTTCAAAGATTACGTATTTCATAAAATAAAATACACGGTCATAGAAAATGCCATTTCACGGATATAATGGGCAAGATAATGGATGCTATACTTATCATTGGGAAGCACATGAAAAGCAATTGGTGCTGGTTTACCTAATACTCGACAATTTTATTTTGTAAACAAATATGAAGTGTTTCAAATTCATAAAAGGTCCAAATAAAGAATTAGAAAGTTATCTCGTTCCTATCAATGTTGCCTATTACACAGAAATTTCCAGAAAATCTCATCATATTTTTTGTTCTCTACTATGCAAGTCTGCATACTAAATCTTATAGTTAGTTGGCAAGCAACAATAATAATTTTAAGTCTTCGCTAAATTTTATAACTTTATGAAGATACCTTGGTAACGTTCCATTTATTTTCAGTATTTAAGTCTCCATAGACTAATAAGATTAAAAATGGGCTTACCATTGATGTTTACCACCAAAATCGGATAACATAGTCTCTGGCTAATCATATCATGTGATTACAATTCATTATTTACAAGGTAACTATGCTTAATTTTGCGCAGCACCCAATTTGCCAGGTGCCGCACAAAATATGCACGCGATTTTGATTGGCTAACGGCTGAGGATCTTCAAAT